TATTTAACTGGGAATAAGCCACAATTAAAGATAAAAATACGTTTATTGACGTTTCAATTTCCACTTCGGAAATCGTTCTCAAAATACAAACGATTTTTGTATTTTAAAAACGATTTCCGAAGTGGAAATGGAAACGTCAATAAACGTATTTTTATCTTTAATTGTGGCTTATTCCCAGTTAAATAGTAATTAAAATAACTTTAAGTATTCCCTCTGTTCTTTTCTTATTTTTAAATCAGTATCTAAAATTAATATTTTACATATTAATAATAATATATAAAGTAAAGCTATTGGTGCTGATGTTATTAACATATTAATGCTTCAACTGTTTATTTCATTTATTGTACCGTATATCACACATATCATTAACTGTTGCTTAACAAATTTATTTTTTCCCACTAAATAGAAACGGGCACATATTACTTTACCGAAGACTAAAATTACAAAAAGCATTCATGAATTATGACCAGTAAGTGGACTGCCTACATTATCTAAAATTTTGGAAAATGTAGTCGATATTCAGTGACAAACTCATTTAAAAAATAACAACAAATCTCTACGATGCAGTCCGGTTTTTTTTATCCTATTTACAGCATTATTATGCAGACGATACCCAACTCTATATGTCATTTAATCCAAATGAGTGTGACCAAGCGGTAAATGCAATAAATCATGACCTTATTTATCTGCAGATTTTTTCTCAAAATCATTGTTTAAAATTGAATACATCAAAAACTCAGGGTATCATTTTTGGAAAGAATCTCCACAGGAAAATATTTTTCGAGAATTATGAAAATCGAATTATTTTAGAAAATTAAAAAATTATTTTTAGCAAAAAGATCAAAAGCCTAGGGGTTTGGTTCAACGAAGATTAAAGGTTTACATATCACGTAAGTATTTGTTTGCAAAGAGCTTAAGCCGTTTTAAAATTTCTGTATCAAATCCGTAAATCGACTACCAAGATTACCAAGATCGACTATAAATCGACTACCAAGTCATTATTGTGTAATGCTCTGGCAATATCAAAAGAACCCGACCATTGTTTGATCTGAGGAGGTAGGCAGAATCTGGCAGAATTCTGCTCACCTCCTCAGATCAAACAATGGTCGGGTTCTTACACCCGCACCATGACAAAAAATTTTTTTCAATTTTTTTAACGTGTTTGTGAAGTCCAGTGTCGGTTTTTATATGTTTTTATATGTTCTAAGAATTGCAACAAAAATCATAATTTGGAAATATAAGGAAATGAGATCTCTCCGTTATAGTGGTATTTAAAAAATTGACCATAGCTCTGATGATGGCTTTGTAAAGCCTAAAGCGCTCAGCTAGGAATTGCCTAAAATATACACACTTCAAAAATACTTTTTACATTTTCTTTCGACAATTTGGATAGGATAAGGAAGGCACAAAGAGCGATGGAGAGACAAATGTTGGGTTTATCACTTAGATATAGAAAACGTAACCAGTGGATCAGAACCAGAACAAAGACAGTAGACGCGATAGAACAAGCAGCAAAACTGAAATGGAAATGGGCTGGACACAATGAACGTCTCCAAGACGGACGATGGAACAATGCCATCGGAAAGTGGCGTCCATACAATGCAAAGAGATCAAGAGGCAGACCACAGATGAGGTGGAAAGATGACATCAGGAAACAAGGAGGTCCCACATGGCAGAGAACAGCTCAAGATAGGGAAAGATGGAGAGAACTGGGGGAGACCTATATCCAACAATGGAAGGATAGAGAATAGGTTAAAAAAAAATATCTATCCTATCTTTAGGGGGTTAGGTGGAAGAACAGTTGTATGTCGCAGTTATATAGTGGTATACAAACTGAATCTTGCCCTACTGATATAAATATTTATTGTAAGGGAAAATTAATTTGTTTGTTAATGAAGACATTTTTTATTATTATTAAACTAATTACTATTTAAATAGGAATAAGTCACAATTAAAGGTTAAAGTAGGTTTGTTGACGTTTCAATTTCCACTTCAGAAATCGTTTTCCGAAGTGAAAATTAAAACGTCAATAAACTTACTTTAACCTTTAATTGTGGCTTATTCCCATTTAAATAGTAATAATTGTTTCTCTCTCTTATACACACACTGCAACCCGAGCTACCGTTCTGTCATAAGCGCTTTATTAACGGTTAAAAACGATATTTTAAAATTAAATAAGCCCCAAATACTTATTGGGAAATGATATAACAAGGTTTGAACCGAAACTTAAGTTTAGGTGCTTGGTGAATTCAAAAGTTTTTGTTTTTGAGTCTTGAAAATCGTAACATTTTTTTTTTCAGTTTTAAATTGTTTATAACTCAAAAATAATCATGTTTACAGAAAAAATACGAGAGACCTATTGTGTTCAGAATGATACAAAAAAATTTGAAAAATTGATTGTTACAATTTTAAAATTTGAACACCTTTTGTCCTAAGCGAACTCTTGAACCTCATTTTGGTATATCTCATGAAGGTGATTATGGAGAAAATCTCATGGGAGTATTTTTCCCAAACGAACGCAAGCTTTTCACCTTGTCTATTAAGTTTTCTGCAGAAATTTCAGTGTTTTTCTTTTAACAACAATTGCGACAGTTCGAAAAATGCAGTTTTTAGAATTTTGGCTTACAGCTAAAAAGGTCTATTTATACTTAAATACAAACATTATATCTATTAAAATATAGAAAAGTCTTCAATATTGCAAAATTATAAAAAATTTTAAATTAATTTGTTGCTCCAAAAATGCATAATCGTTAAACGTAATAAAACTAAAAATTATAAACAATAATTAATAAAATTGATAACTTTTTTACATATTTTTTGAGATCCCAAAATTGAAATTCTCAGCAAAATTCAGCTTATTCGTATAATTTATAAAGCTTCAGTGAGATTTTTGTCTCTGACGACTGGAGTAAATCGCAAATAATAAATGTTAGGAAGTACGTTTTATTGTTTTGGTTCAGCAATTTTAGCAGTTTTAAGGTCGATTCTCACTATACGTTCCGTTGACTTTCCATATCCGTGGCTTTCCATTTACATAAAATATTATTAAATACAAATCATATAGTATATGCCCACTTTCCGTTCCGTTTACCTACCATTCCCGGAGCCTCGAGTTCAAGATTACCAGCCACGTATTTTTTCTGCGACAAGCTGCGACGTGTCGGGTACGGTATGGATAGTGCGAATATTATTACATGGCGGTTCAGTAGAAAGTTGTTAGGATAAATATGAGCCTGGAAACTTTTTTAGGTCAGGAATATTCAAATCACCGTTTTTTAAAGATTTTCCTAAATTAGAATGCGTGAAAATACCGTCACTATTTTTGCCACACGATCCGATATCAACAGTTATAAAATTGCATCGAGCGTCAACTAATGCTAAAAGAACAATCGAAAAAGTTTTTTTATATTTAAAAAACTGAGAGCCGAAATTGGCAGGAGCTTTTATTACAACGTGTTTCCCACCAATTGCTCCTAAACAGTTAGGAAAATTCCAAATATTCCAATAATCGTGCGCAAGATACTCCATTAACATCCAGAGATGAAAATGAATCAACTTTAATAAAGAACCTAAAGATAGTTTTTAGCAAAAAAGCTTAAAAAGTAGCAAACAATGAGGCTTCTGCAAGTTCAGAGCTTATGAAATATCTCATTCGAAAACAGGAAACTGAAGACAATCGTCGTTTTAAAACCGGCCACAACTGATGTACTTTTTCAGAGCATTGGTGCCAAATTTAAAAAGTTTACTTCATATCATCGGAATATTGCAAAACATAAAATTTTTAATCTAGTTGAACAACTAGAATTAGATCAAATTTTACAAACGCAAGGTCAACCATCAGCTCCATACAGCATCATTTTTACATCAAATGGTGGTGAACAGAGTGCTTCCCCAATGTTGCCTATCCCGTATATAACCCCATCAACATCCTAACCATCAACTTCGACATTGTTACATCAAAATGATGGTGGATAGGCTGCTACCCCAATGATGCCTGCGTCTTATATACCTCCATCATCACCCTCACCTTCAACTTCGGTAGGGTGTTATCTCGCAACATACTTTTATAGTGAGGATAACTTATGTTAATTGTTGTGTATAATAATTTGTAAAAATATTATAATAAAAAATAATAAACTTACCTTAAACAAACACACGGTGTTTGCTTAGCTTAATCGATTCCCTGAATCTAGCATCCTTTATTGTTATTAGTTCTTAATAGACGAAAGTAATTCGAAGAACTTGAATTTTGGCTCTCGAAAATATTCAAAGAATTTAGTATCGTCAAAGTTCTTTAAACACAGTTATGTTTCTGTATTTCTGTTTCTCAGTATGTTTCAATATAGTATTATGTATCCAATATTTCCGTTTCCTTTTTGTATTTAAATTATTTTCTTCATCCGATATAATAGCTGTTATTATTTAATTTTCTTCAGACCACATTTTGTCAAGCAGGAAAAACCACTCTTATTCCTGTCAAAAACTTGGAATAAAATGTTACTTGGAATAAAATGTGAACGTAGACGAAAAGTAAACGCGACGTCTACTGAGAATGGTGGTTAAAATAATGGGAAGTATATGGAACGGGTATGGAAAGTAAACGTAACGTATAGTGAGAATCGACCTTTACAGTTCGAACAGGTATCTCGCCCGGAAACGGAAACAGAGTATTCTTTTTTTGATACTTTGGTGTGCATATATTTCTTCATTTGTTATCTTTGACCCCAAAGAAAAATTAGCAATAAAGTAAAAACTATGCTAGAGAAATCAGTTTTCTGGATAATGCTTGAATGTAAGAATTAGAAATCTTATGCCCTCTTAATTATGAGAAGAAAATCCTGTAGGCAACTATTTATTAAGGTCAATTCTAAACAATACTGCAATTCTAAACAATAATATGAGATAAGTTTCAAATTTATATGAAACTTATCTCATAATTGTCGTAAATTATTTCTCTCACTTTATTTGTTGTTTTTTTTATTAAGTAATAATATTTTTAGAATGAAGTTGTCAATATCAGACTTGCTTGTGCTGATGAAAAAGAAGCAGTTCGAGATCATCTTAGAGAATTCTTCTTCAAACAAGAACCTTGCAATGAATCTGTAGGAATCATAACAGAAGAACGCCCGATTTGTCACGATTTGGAGTCGTTTACACTGCAAGGATTTAATAATGGCTTAAGTATTATTGCAGAATGTAACGGAAGGATTGTGGGAGTTTGCCTTAATGTAATGTTGGAAAGAGGTATATTTTTATTTAGATACACAGAAGCAGAGATATGATATTTCGAAACTCAAACCACGAGTTTTAAGAGTTTTGAGTTGGCTCCAATATAGTATTTTACATATTAGTTATATAATTGCTTATTATTTGGTTATGACATAAAAATATATAAATGAATATTTTAACAGAGTAGTTTAGAAAAGCAAATATGTTGTTTAGTAGTACTGATGTTGTTATTCCATGCATTTAATGGTACTACAGTCCAAGTCGGGTCTTGGCCTCCTGCAGTAAGCTTCTCCAAATATCTCGATCTAATGCTATTTGTTTTTAGGAGGGTTTTGGCATCGTCATCTACTTCGTCCCCTCCATCTCCTCTTTGGTCTTCTAACAGGTTTTTTTGCCGAATCCACTTTAATTGCAGTATTCTTCTGTAACACCACTAATATCCTTCGGCATAAACGTCCAAGTGTATCTACTACTAACTGAGATGCCACGATAAGTCTGCTATTCGTATTGCAGAAACAAATGACCCTATTTGGCGAAGAAAAACACCGTACCTGCTCACACTTCTGCCGTCACTTCTACAAAATTGTTCTTAAGCTATTTTCTTGTAGCATTTTAAATTAATTACTATTTAATTGGGAATAAGCCACAATTAAAGGTAAAAATACGTTTATTGATGTTTTAATTTCCAATTTACAATTTACTGTTTGTATTTTGAGAACGATTTCCGAAGTGGAAATTGAAAACATCAATAAACGTATTTTTACCTTTAATTGTGGCTTATTTACAGTTAAATAGTAATTAATTGACAAAATTGGTCGAATTGGATTACAAAACTGTTTTACAAAAAGTCACTCGCCGGGCAAAAAGTTAAGTCGAATGAAGAGCAGATTCGCCGCTACGGTCTGCTTACTATGCAGATCTCGAGAAAACATATTTATCAGACATGTTAAGGCGCGTACAGATATGCGAGCCAAATGGTATACGAACAGTACGCGTACAGCTCGTTGAAAATATATCTAAAGCTCGGTACACATAATGCGAGCCGAGCGGTATGCATACGGTTCGCGAACACAATATTCGTTAATTTGTACGGCAGACAAAACTGCTCGCGAACTGTTCGTTCGTTGCTCGTCGCGAACCAAATTGTGGCGGTTTATTCCACGACTTCAAAGGAAGCTCGTCGTTCAGTTTGGACGGCGCTACTAAACGCAGCGAACATTTTTATTGTCTCATCAAATCGAAATTGTATGAATGACGTGTTCCTTCCTAGAAAGACGTGAAAAAACAGTAAACGGATTATTGTACATATTTTTATTTTTGTTAAACAAGCAAATGATGTCTTGATTTACATTATTGAACGTGACTTATTTATGTGTGTAGAGGAAACTTTTGTGGGTTGTAACAAATCTCCCAAATTGTTTTTTTTTTGGAGTCGGTTGAAGTTTTTGAAATTTTTTATTTATTCTAGCCTATACTAGGGACTCTATTACATTATATAGTATATATATATATATATATATATATATATATATATATATATATATATATATATATAGATGAGAAACAGAAACACAATAAATCAGTACCCAAATTATAAATAAAATTAATCATTTCGCACATGTGTGTTCGTTGCTGGTTTTCGCTTTCCATGGCTCGCGAGATGTTCGCGAACCGTTCGATGTAGATATATTTTCAACGAGCTGTACGCGTACCGTTCGTATGCCTTAAGGCGCGTACAGATATGCGAGCCAAACGGTATACGAACGGTACGCGTACAGCTCGTTGAAAATATATCTACATCGAACGGTTCGCGAACATCTCGCGAGCCATGGAAAGCGAAAACCAGCAACGAACACACATGTGCGAAATGATTCATTTTATTTATAATTTGGGTACTGATTTATTGTGTTTCTGTTTCTTATCTATATACATATATATATATATATATATATATATATATATATATATATATATATATATATATATACTATACAATGTAATAGAGTCCCTAGTATAGGCTAGAATAAATAAAAAATTTCAAAAACTTCAACCGACTCCAAAAAAAAAAAAACAATTTGGGAGATTTGTTACAACCCACAAAAGTTTCCTCTACACACATAAATAAGTCACGTTCAATAATGTAAATCAAGACATCATTTGCTTGTTTAACAAAAATAAAATAATGTACAATAATCCGTTTACTGTTTTTTCACGTCTTTCTAGGAAGGAACACGTCATTCATACAATGTCGATTTGATGAGACAATAAAAATGTTCGCTGCGTTTAGTAGCGCCGTCCAAACTGAACGACGAGCTTCTTTTGAAGTCGTGGAATAAACCGCCACAATTTGGTTCGCGACGAGCAACGAACGAACAGTTCGCGAGCAGTTTTGTCTGCCGTACAAATTAACGAATATTGTGTTCGCGAACCGTATGCATACCGTTCGGCTCGCATATGTGTACCGAGCTTTAAAGAAGTGGAAGCATCACTGGGTCAAGTGTATTAAGCTAAAAGGAAACTATGTTAAGTAATATATCGCCAATTTTGCAATTTTTTTTTGTTTTATTTACTTATTGGATCGCCCTTGTATGATGTTGCGTTTTTAAATTTTTTTAAAACCCATTGCCAATCTAACCGATTTTTAGTGCTCGTACGTTTTCAACGCGTTGGGGATATACAGGCTACTGCGATTGAAATTTCGAATTGTGGCATTATGAGCAGTAGAATAGATACTAAACTTAAAATACACGTGCATTACATGTGATACGGAAACAATTTTCTAATTGTTTCTTTTTCATACCAAGTGAGTATCATATGTGATTCACATCACTTTATTTATTAGGATTACAGTTATTAGGATTTTCTTTGTTACTATTTTATTAATGTATTATATTTCTAGTTTATAAAAATTTTTTTTTTCCTAAGTTAATGGCACTGGCAAAGCCAAAAGGCCAGTCATGTTTTCTCATAGTTTTATCATCAATTTCCATTGTTTACATTATATACATATTAATATTATATACAAGTTAAATTAAGATAGAATATTTTTAGTGTGTTAGTACATGCCTAAATATTTTCGTTACTTATTTTTATTTTTATTGTTTTTTTTATCGTTCTATATACCATTGTAACTTTTCTTTTATTTTTATTGTTTATTTCTTTTTATTAGTATTATTTTTTATTGTTTAATATTATTTATTTATTGGTTTACTTTTTTTTTTTGCTTTTTTTTTCATATTGTTTTTTTTTTGTTTTTTTTTTTTGTTTTTTTTTGTTTTTTTTTTTTTTTTTTTTTTCGTTTTAGGCTTACAAATATACTCCGCCAAAAAAGTATTGCATCACTTATAAAATTACAAATATTTCTGACAGCATTTGGTTAATTTAAATAATTTCTTTCTGGCCTATAAGAATATTAAGGCTAGAATAAATATGAAGAAGAAATTTGTAAATACAGTTTATTGTTTAAGAAAAAAAATGTTAATTGCTATTTTGTCCGGTTTTTATATTATCAGTGTTTATTTTAGTTTTGTAAAAAGTATACAGTTTGCCTTTAATTTAAAATTTCGTATTAAATATTGAGTATGGAAGGTCGCGACAATATAAATTTAAATTTAACGAGAGATCAAGTGGTTAGAATAATTTCCCTCATTGAAGATGGAAGGAGTCAGAGGTATGTGGCAAATTTAGTGAGTGTAAATCAGTCGACAGTATCACGAGTGGTAGTAAGGTACCGAGAGACTGGTCTTTATGAAAGACGAGCTGTATCAGGTCGACCAAGAGCAACTACGCATGTGGACAATAGATTTTTAGTACTTCAGGCTTTACGTCGAAGGCATGTGACTGCGAGTCAACTTCAACATGCTTTAGCCGAGACTCGAAATGTACGTGTGTCTTCAGAAACTGTTAGGCACATCTTAAGAGAGTCTGGAATTAGGGCCAGAGTAGCTGCCACTGTACCGAGACTTACAAGGGAACACCGTATAGCACGTCTAACATTTGCAAGAGAGCACGTAAACTGGAATATCAACGACTGGGGTAACATACTCTTTACGGATGAGTCAAGATTTTGTTTATACACTTCGGATCGAAGAATACCAGTTTATAGACGAGATGGCGAGCGTTATTTTCAATGCAATCTAAGATTGGCGACAAACTTTGGAGGAGGATCTATTATGCTCTGGGCGGAATATCTCTTAGGGGTCAAACCGAATTGGTACAGCTAGATGGAGGATCCTTAACTGCTGATAGGTACATTAGAGACATTTTAGAGATGCATGTTGTTCCTTACGCCCCATTTATTGGTAATGACTTTGTTTTAATGCATGACAATGCACGCCCACACGTCGCAAGAATCGTTACCGAGTACCTTCAAGAGGTAAATTTACAAGTTTTGAATTGGCCAGCGCACAGCCCAGACTTAAATCCAATAGAACATGTTTGGGACCATCTTTACAGAAGGGTGAGATCTGGTAATGTGACGCCAGCTAATCTTCAGGACCTGCAACGGTTGTTAACCATAGAATGGGACAATATCGATCCAGATTATCTAAGAAGATTAATTGGAAGTATGCCACAACGTTGTTTAGATGTTATAAGAGCTAGAGGAGGCAATACGTCTTACTAAATTATCATTAATTTTGATTTTGATTTTTTATTATTCAATGCTGTTTGTGCGCTTACTTCTAATTTATGAAATAAATTAAATAAAACCTTTATTTTTCGTACATTCTTCATTTTTCTTTTAATACTTGTTATGTACTTAAAAAATAACAAAAAACAACAGTACACAATTCATGTTTTAAATTATTTTTAATCCAAAATTTGCAGTTTCATAGGTGATGCGATACTTTTTTGGCGGAGTGTATATTCATATTTCGCAATACTGCTTACAAAGTAATATTAGTAGATTTTACATACTGATATATGATGTAGATACTATTATCCTCTAATGTCAATAGATTTGAAACATTTATTGGAAATTTCATTTTGTATAATATTAAATTTTGATAAAACTT